ATAGATAGATAGATAGATAGATAGATAGATAGATAGATAGATAGATAGATAGATAGATAGATAGATAGATAGATAGATAGATAGATAGATAGATAGATAGATAGATAGATAGATAGATAGATAGATAGAGAGATAGAGAGATCTAGGGAGAGAGAGACAGGAGTAGGCAGAGAGAGAGAGAGAGGAAATATCTTTCAGTTAGTGTTTTGTGTATTTACGCTTACACGTACTTTGTGCCTATCAGTGTCGACTGGTGATTTTCTCCTGCATGAGCACTTATGTTAACTCTAAGGGCACGATCGCTTACTTCAGTCTCATAGCTCTTCCCTGTGCAAAGGAGTACAAAGTTCCGGCCATTCACTATTCTTAAAACAGCCACAGACTTTATTATTTTTGTAATATATGTTGTTTAAGGATTCCCCAATGCCTTCTCGGCTATCGAGGTTTCCATAATACCAAAGCGTATAAAAAAGTGATGAACAATATATGAGCAAAGAAATGGATGGTGAGATAAAATAAAAAAAAGTTTCTGGCTGTCTGATATGGAGTTCGATGCCCAAGGGAAGAGAGCAAGAAGGGCGACCGTTGCTCACGAATGCGATGTTTATGATGGAAGCCGCTGTATGTTGGAATCACTCACTTCATCATCAACAAGCGGTTTGTATCGTGTTGCTGTAAATGGCAGGCTAAGTCGGCCCCAGACTACATGCGATTGGGAGTGTGAACTTAGCTAAGGATGGAGAGGCTGAACGCTGCCCCATACTCTCCTGAGTGTATAATACACAGTCAAGAACAATTCACCGCTGTGCTCGACTGCCTGTTCATGTACACGTATGCGAAATCAGCTATAGAACTTTGCATCGATAGGGCAATGACGCATGTACATCATAAGAAACTGGTTGCATAAGGACACTAGACCATACTTCACCCAGGCATACTTGTCATGACGTAATTCATTTATCATCATCATATGAGCTAGCTGGATTACTGTCTTCTGCACTTGATCTGGCGATCCACGTAGACCCTTGCAACTAGGAGCTTCAGAACTTGTTACATTGCTGGATCTACTCTGTCTGGACCGAATTAGGAGACGATTGAACATGGGGTAAAACCAATACTGCAGGAAATAATCCGAATTTGAAAGATCGAGTTTGAGGATAATCTCCGCCAGGGAGTAAAAAAAGGAATGGATTTTCACGCCAATCCAAGCGTCATCACGCACCAGATTGTAGGAACGCAATTGAAAAGAGCCCTTCAGCACTACGTTCAGAATTGCGGTGCTGATCGTACGGAACACAGCAATGCACTTAACATCGACGTCCCACTTGATCGGTTGGTCAAACAATCTCTCAGCCGTCAATAGATCAGTTTCCCAACACGGTAAACGCAGACCGCTCAGAAAGAAGTCCTTACCATGGCTGGAAATTAAGCTCTGGGCCTGAAATATCACCAATATCATATGTTTGAAAATATTGACTTCATCAAAGTCTGTTAACTTATAGCAGCTTTCGCCGGGGAATCCTTCTGGTTGCGCTCCTGGTTTAGATGAGAATCTCCTGGAGTTGGCCCGGTTTTCAGGACAAATGGACAGAATTTCACGAACCAGGTAGCGGCTGGAAGCTTTCAAAGTTCGAATTCCTCCTGGAATGAGGCTTTTGCAGCGATGCCATCGCAGATACTCCATCTTTGGTAAACGACTAGCCAAAATAACATATAAAGCATAGTCGAACGGGTCGAGTGGCAGCTTAGCAGTGGAATAAGCCTTCACTAACGACAAGAATACGTTGAGACGAAGACACTGCGAAAGCCTCCTAATACCCAGCATTGTGCATTCCCTGTTGGTGGCTACAGGAACATCGCACAGATTGCCATCATCATCTCCACTGGTAAGCAGTCCGTATCGCTGATGCTGCTGCGGCTGGTTTCCTAATTCGATCTTTCCCACATCATCAACTGCACGACTATTGTACTGCTGGTATGCACCACTCACGCCCAGTAGGTACGTCAACACAGACAAAAGTAAAAACATTGCGACGAAATGATCTACATGTAGTAGTGTCGAATTATGCGCCTGGACTTTACAAAATGATACAGCCTGAACAGGAGTAATTACTGGGAATGCTGTAGTCCGTAGTGTACCACTGACCAATAACACGTTTGTACCCTTCTATTTGTTGGGCTTTTTAAACGGTGTTTGTGTGATCAAAGCCCTTCAGGAGTACAGTTTGCTGCGGAAAACTCTAGCACTCACACAGGAATCACAGGCACAAATAAATGCACATCATCGCAACGCTGAACGCACTGTACTTTGACGAGTAGATTGAGGAAGATGCATGGTGACCACGCTTAGGTAGATGTTCGAACAGTCTAGGGTGGTAATAAAAATAATAATTTCACGGTTCGCGTGAGACTCGGCTGGAAGCCGAGTTTTCCGCATTCGCCATGGGAACGCCACCACCCTCCAGGATCAAAGGCAAAGATGCAGCGCTTAAACGGTGGGAGGTGAGTAGATCAGACCCACCACCAAGTGGTCAAAGACCGAAATCCATGTTACCCTCGTTCCAGGCCACGAGTTCCCAATTAACTGAGGGTCGCAGCACGACTGGAAAATTTCCTTCCGCTTCCAAGCAGGACTTGAACCTGGTACCCTCTGTTTCTCAATCATGGTCTTAGACCATCCCACTATGCCCGCCTGCCTAGGGTCGTAACAAAGTAGGAATAAAGCATCGAGTTAACTTCCTACATAGAAACGGAAGGACTATGAAATCCTGCAGTGACCCTTGGCTGATTGACTTCTTGCGTACTTCTATGAGGGTAAAGTGTAATCGCCACAATGAACAATTCGGATTTTGAGCAAACATTTGTTACCTCTTCCGAGCGCCTCCCTTTTCCTGATTGGTACTCTCCGCAACTGACCCTTCTAAGTTGCAATGCTGTTGGTTTGTGTAATGTGAATGTGTTGGAGCTAGGTATCAGTTCGTTGACTTTCTAAGTACCCCTGTCAGTTTCGCGACCTGGTGTCGTACTACCCTACACTAGGCTACCGCATAATAATCTGGTGATCCTGGTGGACTGTTTGCCACTTATTAGTCCTTACAATGAAGGACTTATTCCTGATGATGGGCCTTGCCCGAAAATTTGATCTAATGTATATCAATTCCAGTGTAGCCTAGAGACCGTTAGAGAGAGAGTGTGTACAAGGTGTGTGTACAGGATGTATGGATTCAAGTATTGGCTACAGTGGAGTCTCCAAACCTTGAGAAAAATGAAGGTCTCCATTCGAAATATGTATTTCAGTCGGTCTGATCTTTTCGTCCTGACCAGGAAGTGGTGTAGACCCGTGAGAGAACCCGCCATGCACTTATTCTCGTGGACAGGGTGTGCCTGGCCTCATGCATACTCAAGTCCAATCACGTGATATATAATAAATTTCACGGTTTGCGTGAGACTCGGCTGGAAGCCGAGTTTTCCGCATCCGCCGTGGGAACGCCACCAACCTCTAGGATCAAAGGCGTAGATGCAGCGCCTAAACGGTGGGAGGTGAGTAGATCAGACCCACCACCAAGTGGTCAAAGACCGAAATCCCATTAGCTGCATCCATGTTACCCTCGTGCCAGGCCACGAGTTCCCAATTACCTGGGGGTCGCAGCACGGCTGGAAAAATTCCTTCCGCTTCCAAGCAGGACTTGAACCTGGTACTCTCTGTTTCTCAATCATGGTCTTAGACCATCCCACTATGCCTGCTTGTCCTATATCCCGTGATATACTACACATATATACCGGAAGATGTTGTCCACAGACTTGAGTACCGGAAGATTATACCAAACAGAACAGCAAGGATAATCAAGGCTTGTTTGTTGCGACTTGAAGTTTCATGCTCTCGCAATCATCAGGCAACATGAAGGTTAGGTACCGACCATGCCAGTATAATATGCCAGGAGAAGGAAGGAAAAGCTGTGAGAATGTAGGGGCTAGCGGTGTTATCTTAGGCAGGAGGCTGTGTGCAGAGTGCGTGGTTGTTGAAGGCAGGGGCTAGCAGTGCAATGTTTGCGCAGAATGTGTGATTACGCTCTGCCTCCGCCATGGTGTTGCGCACTGTCAGCACACTGGGTACACCCTCCAGGGTATTATGATACCATAAAGTGAACAATGTTGGATCTAAAACTAATACTAGAAGAAACACTACTTGTTATATTCTAAAGGCTCTATTGCATGGGGAGCGATCGGGAGCAGTGTGATAGCATGTGCAAATTGAAGAAATGCAGGTGAAAACGGTACATGTATGGGAATGGGTATGTGAGTTGATTATGTTAAGAGAAGAATGTGAGTGCTGTGACGAATTATTTTGCTTGTCTTAATCTGGATTACGAGTACGAATAAACATGGCTTCTTCTAATACGGAGAGCAGATGAAACTGTATGTACTAGCATAGCATGACGAGATGATTGAATAGGATCAATCAGCAATGTTAGAATTAACTTAGAAACCTACCCAAGCTCTACTTGAAGTATTTCAACACGAACGTGGATGGAGAGCCAAGGATTATTTATAAAAAGTAAATAGGACCAAGGAACTACAAGTTACACCTTGGTCCTATTTTACTGTTTATTTCAACACGGATAAACATGCCAACTTACCAACGTAAAGATCAGTAAGCATTTAAATAGCACTGTTGCTAGGCGTCAATAGAGACACTTCCTTACGTAAATTCGAAAAGCCTCACTAGCGTTAGAAACCCAGAAATAAGCCAGCCACGAATATCTATGATGACGTAATTCATTGATCATCAGCATACGCGTCAGTTTTATTACAGTCTTCTGCACTTGATCTGGCGTTCCACGTAGTCCCTTACAACTAGGAGCTTCAGAACTTGTTATGTTGTTTGATCTACTCTGTCTGGACCGAACTAGGAGACGATTGAACATGGGGTAAAACCAACGTTGCAGGAAATAATCTGACTTCGATATGGCAAGTCGCAATGGTACATCCGTGATAGAGAACACAAGGGAATAGACTTCAGCTCCAAACCAAGGCGTATATCGAAGGGTTTTGTATGGCCACGGTTTAAGGGAGCCATTCCACAGTACGCTGATGATCCTGCTGCCGATCGTACGAAATCCATCAATGCACTCTGCATCACCGTCCCACTTGATCGGCTGGTCGTACAATCTCTCAGCGTCCAACAGATCAGTCTCCCAACACGGTAAGCGCAGACTTTGGTAGAGAAAATCCTGCCCATGATCGGATATTAGGCTCTGTGCCTAAGACAATGCCAACATACCATTCTTGAACAACGGTATCCAATCATATGCTGTTACCTTGTAGCATTTCGGACCTGGATTTTCTTTGGGTTGCTGTGCCAATATCGATGCAATTCTGCTAGTTTCATTGCGCGCCTTAGGGCAAAGGGAGAGGATTTCACGAACGATGTAGCTGTTGCAATCATTCATTGTGCGGATGTGACTTGGAATCACTTTTTTGCATCGATCCCATCGCAAATATGCCATTTTTGGCACCAGAAGTGCCAAGGCTGCATACACAGCACTTTCCAATTTCCTGAACGTCAGATTACTTCCAACAAATGCGTTCGCTCCAGACAAAAAAATTGAATTGAAGACATGCTGCTAGCTTCTCTAGGCTGACCACATCGCAATAGATATCTCCGTCGTGGACTGCCGAAACATTGCAAACGTAGTCATAGCCTTCTCCACTCCTACGCACTGCGTATCTCCGATCCTGCTTCAGTCGGGATACTAATTCAACAACTTTCACATCAGCCACTGAACGTTTATTGTTTATCTGATGTGCATCACCCATGCCCAGTGAGAGCGTCAAAACAAACAACAGCACAAACATATCGTCGACTAGGTATTGTAGTAGTAATTACGAGGCTGAACTGAGCGGAGGGATCAAGACTGAACTCAGCAGTATGATCAAGAATGGAATGTGTAAAATGATCAAGAATTTGTTGGTATGTAATACCGCTTGGGTGGATGATCTCACAGTATAGGGTGAGGACCGAATGGAAGAGTGATTATCGAGTCATGCTCCCGCCCTACATAGAACGTTACTCGAAAGCTATGTGTATTGCTGAAACTCTCTGTGCACTGGATGTCAACGCACGCAGGCGGTGGCCTGGACATGGCCCTGAACGGCTGCACTGTTCCTCTCAAAATGTGGTCGGATTTCTTTCACGCCGAGTCCGATTTGATTTCACTCGCTAAGGTCTCGAGTGCTTCCTCTACCATGCGACTTTCCCTCGCATTTCCAGGTCACCGATTCAACTCAAACATTCAAAAGGCGACTTCTTTTCTGCACACGCCACTTGACGTATTCTCAAACATTTCTGGCCATCATCAGGCCAGAAATGTTTGTGTTTGGAGTCTTTAAGTTTTAAAGTACTTATCTAGAGGTTCCTTCCGAGTACCGAGTCCGAGACCTTCCGCTGGTGTTTGGTCAATTTACCCAACACTTAAACGGCTGAATGCTACTGCCTACGTTCTTCAAACATCGCAACTTTATCAAAAAATTATAAAGGGAACATACAGCCGAGCGCAGGGGACAACAAAGGATTCCGGCTACATGGCTGCCTATACTTCAAAGTAGATCTATGCTCTCTTATCAGTAGTTGGCACAACGTATTACCAGTCACCGATGTCCAACCTTGAAGAATGCTGTAGCAGGTTTCGGATGGCTGGTTAAGCGTGACCTCTCCGCACATCACACGTTATAAGACATGAATATCCGTTTTCAAGCAGCTGATATTGCACGTAGCCCTTCAGTACTTCGCTACAAAGTATCAAAAAAACAGACATCAAGTGAAATCTGGAAACCACCTTTCCCTTAGATGGCCTCTAATGAATGTACAAGGTAAGAGGACACGCAACCAAACACTGACCCCTCCCAAGTGCATTTCCATACCTCGGAAGTACATGCATAGCATCATCACCTTAATCATTTGGTGCCTGATTTACAGACTAATGTTTGAAACCATTTCACGCCTCCAAAATGCTAATTGTGATCATGACACGCACACATCTACTTCCGCTTCCACTTCCACATGCGAACAAGCGATGTTAGACAGAGCAACTTACACATACATACGCACACATACGGACACACGGACACCTACAGACACACGGATACCTATCGACACACGTACACACAGAGACCCGTTGGGGATTCAACACACTGGTGACCAGTGTTGGCGCTACATGTAGGTCGACACGTCTAACTATGCGCCTTGCTCCGACTCCGTGACTCCTAGATGGCGACCTCTCAGAAACCCTGACCTAGTTGGCACACAACTTGCCACCAGGAGCGCGAGGGCCACACGTAATACCTGGACAGCTGTACGACGGGAATTAATATGCGAAGTAACAGCATTTTTCTGACTAGAAGACCAGAGAATTCTATGAAGACTCTCGCAGTCACTGATACGTACAGTCTTGTATTGGAGATCTGTTGGAGAAGGGTCGCTCTACCGCTGAAGGTAAGCCTGTCTGGGTGTTGCAGTGTCCATGGCAAGTAACACCGCCTTGTACGTTTCAAGCTCACTATAATAGTGTACGTGAACATTTTGATTCTAGTGCGAAACGAGTTTGATGTCATGTTATGTATTGTTATTTTAATATGTTTGTGTAAATAATAATTCAAAGGGATACTATCACTGCCCGGAGTTGAACCAGGACTTTCCTGCAACTCGTTTTACGTACATCTCTATATGTAGTCTCATGACAAGATCTTCTATGTATATACATTGTACCACGAAAGGTTTGGAGGTAACGCATGCACACGGCACAGAGCACCAAGCATCGTTCGTTGTAACTATTAGTTTCATGCCCAAAGGCAATCATCAGACAACTGATACAGGTTGAACAACCAAGATCCGAACCGTTCGGAACGAATAGCGAGCATTCCACCGAGCCGGAGGACTCTCATTTGTGAGGTAATGCATGGATATGTGCTAATCATTAGTTTCGCTGTCAGCTTGAGGTTCGTGCGTAAGTGCCGGCGCAACACAGGTATGTGTGGTAAAGAACAAGAGTGGAAGTATACTGCACGTTTCCCTAGTCGAGCAATTCTTTCTCCTGGAGTACTGTTTGCGACCCATTGAGTTCCTATTTTGGAATCCGGATTATCCAGCTATGTAGATTGGGCTGGTTGATTTATATGGTGGTAAACACACACACACACACACGCGCGCACGCGCACACACATACACACACACACACCTGGCAATATGGCGGTAAATACACGACCGCGCACACATGCTCTCTACACTGCAAAGTTAGGGGCCGTTTACAGGAGAGAATATGTCCGGGCTTATTCAACCCAAGGCTTACGATACACCCGCCTTGATCTGTCAACCAGTCCTTTTAGAGCGCGTGTTTACATGGTGAGGTGGGCCTACCCTACCCTTGACCCCCGAGGTTGTTCAACCCCAGGGCGTATAAGCGAGTTTTTCCGTATTTTTGATTTTGCCTCGTGAACCAGAGAGGATGTGGCCGTGGACAGGTAGCGCATGGCACATGCATGTAGTAGATGGCACAGCAACGACATAGCTTGATTGCGACGAACGTTTCGTCCACGTTGGGTCCATCAGGCAATCTTCTTCTGAGATGTCTTCACACAGAGTTTGACTCGGGAGAATGAAATTGAAGACTAGGTAGCTTCTGCGGGGAAAATGTTTATCACAGGCTCGCGCATTCACGAGTCGTCGATATAATATTATGCGTAAATACCTTTTTGGGTAAATACTTGTACCAATACGCGGTCGGGGAAGATAAAAATAGCACACTATTTGGAAAAATTACATGTGGAGCGGTATGGATTATTAGTTCAGGTTTGCAGTAATATCACCCTTCCACAAGCAATGATTTTACAGTATGGCGGTGATGGCGATTTCATCGTTTTTCACCCTTTTTTGTTAGTTTTAGTCGCCTGAGCTACAAGGGTCTCAATAGCATAATATTGCTCTCTCCTTCATGGACAGTGAGTTACTTTTCACGCCTTTGGGTAATCCTGAAATAAAGATTATTTTATTATTAAACCCTTTGTCTTTGTGCCAGAAACTCTCAAAATCCCTATCTGTATGGGCAGTACAAAAGAGTACATGTACTTAGTATACGAAGTACTTACTATTCCGATTTCAGTATTGATCGATACATCCGCCTCCTGGACAATGTACGGACTAAGCGAGAACTGGTACAATCAGAGTGCGCAATAACTGAGCTGCACGGAACTGGGAGATAGGCCATACCTGGACATACATGTATGTGCTTGCCAGCTGACAATTCACACGAACTGAGGAAGCTGTAGCGTCCGGTGCTTATCTGATAAACAGACCTTGTTGCGATAAAGACATAGCCTTCCGATATCAACAGACTACTTCGAAGTATTAAATTTCCTGTTTGGTTCACCCGGTATGGATTGTGACCTAGCTTCGTACTCGAGTCCCTACTTCCCCTATGTGTGTTTTGATTATTATTGTTCTCTACATGCTTCCCAGCAGTCTTGTCACAGTATTAGGAGGTCATTGCGTTGAGGATAAATTCGACAATCCTCTACGTTTAGGTTATGCATGCACTTAAAGCGATTGTTTGTTGTACTTGAGAATCTAATCTGCCAGTGGGCACATTGATGTGATTTTTTTGTCAATGCAGGCCGATTGGAGGGAGCAGGATAGTTTGACTACTCCACCATGACGTCACGTAGTACGAATCCTCTCCGCACTGTGTTTCTGTGGAGTCTATGTCTATGCTGTACGTCACTCCTTGCCGCCAGCACAGCTTTGCCAAGTGGTGCAAGTACATCCGATGGGAGCAGCAGCAGCAGCAGCGCTATCAACAAGCCAAGAACGATCGGGCCTGGATCAACAACGTCATTCGATTTTGCACCTCGAATACCCACTCCCAGCCTGCTACCAGACGACTACAAGAAGCTCATCCCGGCCTGGGTAAAGTGTTCGGAAATCACAGGTAATGCCATCTGCATGCATGTTCTCTTCCCGTTGTTGTTGTTTTTCTCTTCCATTCAATGTAGGCATGTGCACTTTCATAAAAGAAATGCTTGGTTCTGAATTTCTTCTATCGATTATGCGCAGTCCAACCTACACACTGGCTGTTTGTGCAAATACAATAATTGAAAAAAAGTATATAGAAAATTAATGTGGCATTGCACCAATGGAAACATTAATTTTAACGATTGAAAAAATATATCCACCTAACATTATTACGCATTCTACGACAGTAACTCAGCGACACGGAATAACGAGGATACCAGTACACTGCTTCGCCCATTCGGCATCGTCAGGGTTTTGATGAGGACCGGGAGGCAAACACAATCCGTTCTGCCTTCTTCGTGTGTGGTAAAGCTGTGTGTTGTGTTGAGCGGCGAAACCAGTGTATGTGATGATGCCCTGTACCACACACCAGCTGATTTACGAAAGGGCGTTGCCTGTACACCAGATTCGCCTCAGATTGATTAAAGTAAAATGCATTTCAGCACGCCTGAGTGTTGTCAAGTATGCCTCCAACGCATTTTGAAACATATGCTTTTATGTATGCCCTTCACAGGCATAACACGCAGACTGGAGGCCCTTCCCGGCACCGGCTGGGATAACTTGGACCATACTGACAAGGGCTACGTCATCGATCTGACTTATGACCAGTGCAAGACCACATCGGATGGCAAGTTCCTGATTCCCGATCAGATGACCACAATACCATTACAGAGAAGTGAGGTAGGTAATACTAATTGTGGAAGACGTGTCTCGTTGGAGAGTTATTCCCGAAGCTAATCAAAAAGACGTTACTTTAGTAGCGTTAGCCGAAAATGTGTCAGGAGAAATGGCGAATGCCAAGAACCTTCTCCTTCAGGAACCATTTCCTAAGCACAGTGAACCTAGGGAAATGCAGGAGAAGGCCGATAACCAGTTGTTGTTGTTGAATTTTATTTAAAGTCGCAACACAAACAGGCCATGTTGCCTCCTTTTATACATGTGAGCAAAATGACGAGTTTAAAAATAATAATCGTAATGGGGAGGGGAGGAGAAAAAATCAAAAGTGAAAGAAGTCACCGAAGGTAACTGAATATGACATATTCAGTTAACTTCGGTGACTTCTTTCACTTTTGATCTTTTTACATTGTTACAGATAGAGCTGCAGTTCACTGCACTAACAGCATTGAACACCGCAGTTCTTCATTCTATTTAGTATTTTATTTTGTTCTGAAAAATGAGAAGGACAAAATGTTACGAGTTATGACTAACAGTCCACCAACGTAACCAGAATATCTTATCCAGTCAGCGAGTGCGACAAAATGCCACGAAACTGACTAGGACTACTGAGACATTCTGACTCCTTGTCCGTTTTGTGTCATTTTGTCGCACTCGCTAACTGTATAAGATCTGGTTCGTTGCTGGACGCCTTAGTCATAACTCGTAACATTTTGCCCCTCTCCTTTTTCACCGTAATTTAATTGGCTCACCATCCGAGTTGAACTTATTTTGTTCTCGTAACACACTATTGAATGTATACTTTTTTAAATCATTGTTCTGCATGGTTTTTCTTCAGTCACGACATTCCACTGATGAATGTGACATGAAAATCAATTTTGGAAACATTACATTTTCATGACTTGTTGGTGGGTGGCGATGACAGCAGAATGTGTTCTCTTTATTGCTAATAGTAATAATATTAATAATAATGACAGTTCGCATTTCACTCATTGCATGAGGTCAACGCATCTGTTAACAATTTCGAGCCAAGCAGCTCTATCAGAAGCAGATTGCACAGCATCCAGAAGCGGCAGATTAATGCATTGTAAGTCTTTCTTGGCAACGTCGATCCATCTCAGACGTGGTCGTCCTCGCGGTCGTCGTATGTCTGTTGTGTTGATTGACATTAGGAGGGCTTGGAAAAAAAATCCGCGTCGATTATTAGCGACATTGCCATCGTCTACTATGCAACAACTAGCGATTGATGACTTTTTTGAAACCCCTAATCGGCCAAAGTTTCTCACCGGCCAAAATCTGTTGATTTACAGTATGGGTACATGTTTGTACTGCCTGTGCGAATGTGTGTGTGTGTGTGTGTGTGTGTGTGTGTGTGTGTGTGTGTGTGTGCGAATGTGTGTGTGTGTGTGTGTGTGTGTGTGTGTGTGTGTGTGTGTGTGTGTGTGTGTGTGTGTGTGTGTGTGTGTGTGTGTGTGTGTGTGTGTGTGTGTGTGTGTGTGTGTACGTCTGCATCTCTTTCTACGTGTACACGTATGCGTGCGCAGGTACAACAGTTTGCTGACCTGTACAGCTCGTACACGGACTACCAGAGTAGCACTGCACACTCCATGTCACTAGATCTACAGTACAAGGTCGTGTCGGGTAGTTTCTCCGGAGAATATCAAAACAACAAACAGCACCAGGTGAGCATATTTACTTAGCTACCACTTTCAAATTCTACCAATTAATAATTATTCATTAGCTGGGGTAGTTGAAATGGGAACGCTCTGAAGAAGAAACGACTTTCACCACCAGGAATTTCGCTTGAGGCCGCCTTGGTCTAACCACTGAGCTATGGTGTATAGCTGTCATCCCAGCAGAGACCATCCAGCGTACTCTGCAGACTTCGAAACTCACAAATAAATGAACGAGTTTGCCCAAAACAAGATTTCCCACAACTGTTACTTCAGCCTCTCCCGAGCTATAACTGTTACTAGTGTTATTAGGGGCAATCCGGTGCATTGACGTGACAGACGTGCATGCTAAGTGCTAACACACCCGTCCTAGACGACACGGCTTCACGCCGTACGTGTTCTGCAACATTATAATAATATTAATGTAGCTGCATGAACATCATTGCGATAACGAAGGCGCAACGGATTCCAGCACTCTGAAATACATGTTGCATATATGTGCAATGCCTTATGACTAGTGATTATAGGGAGGGTGACAGTTCTGCCTTCGGGCTCCAAAGTAGCACCGCGAGTAACCATGCGAGAAGCCTGGGGCATTCGCTTCGTGAACTCACTCACAACCATACTGAGCTGTCGTCGCATAATGATACGGTATGTCGGTATCACATGGCTGTTATTGGGTTTGTCCATGGCATGGGAATCCCAGTGTTGCAAAACACGTTACAGCCACGCTTTCAGACAGTTCAGAGTCCCGCAGGCATGCATTCTGGTCGCTGCATGGTGGTTGGATGTCCGCCTGATACGGTGTTTTAGTCTTTGCGAGTCGCCGTCGTGGCTCTTTGCAGTTCTCTCTCCACTTCCTCCAATACCCTCGGCAGCTACATGAGTGGTGCAGAATAAAATAATTATTGCCCTTGATATGAAGGATTTCGTAACTGAAAAATGCACGTGCATTTCTGCCAAGTACATCTCCGCTTATTTCCCGACCGGTCCTATTTTAGTAGTACTCTGTACTGCTGAGTTACTGAAGTGAAATAAAGTACTGCGTAAAGTTTCGTTGACCCCATAGTGTCCCTAATTTACAGTGTATTCCGAATGAACCGAAAACCAGCTAGATCAGTTTGGACGGTTCGGAACTTCCCTTTCCGCTGTGCTTTCTCAGGTGGCAAACAGAGCAACAACAGCTCGAGTGCAAGTGCGCCATGAGCTCTATCTCGTCGAGGTCTCCCCAGATGCCAGGCTGGCCCCTGCGTTGAAGTCCCGTCTACTCAACATCGCTGCTCTGCTACAAAACCAGTACCAGGATGCAGCGGCATACGAGTTGAGTCTGATTGTGCGCGATTACGGTACTCATATGGTCAGGTCGGTCGTGGCAGGTGGAGCGTTTGTCAACGAAGACCAGGTAACTAGCGTTACAATCAGTCATGATGTTTATGTTGCTAAATCTTTCATACCGGTCTGCAGACTGCATGGTGCAGTAGACCCCCAGGCTTTCTACTAGCCCTGCATACGTAATGCATGTGTAACATAAAACGTATCTGTCTGATGACAGAACTCGTACTCATCACATGTGCCCAGTCAAGGTTCAAAAGTTGCTGGCAAAAATGAATAGGTATTGGATACCAATACTCCTTATGTGTACCATGTTTGTGAACTGTGTGTATCCACGCTGTGGGATGCATACGGCTCTATTGTGCGCATTTGGTACCGTGCAATACATCATTGATGTGCATTTGTGGCGCTGTCCCCTATGGCAAGTGTCGGATTTCACTTGCCACGACTGTAGTTAGATGTCCCGTTTCTTGAGTGCATACAAGTTACTCATCTGGAGGAGGCTGACTTATCGTGTGGTTGAGGTTGTAACTGAAAGATTGCGTTTCGAGACACAAATTATTATCATTATTGTACATGTCCGGCTGATTTGCAACCTTTCTTTCTTTCATATGATTTAAAAAAATCACACATGAAGCACCCATATCATGCAATTCCATGAACATCTTTCCCGCCCCTCTGATCCACCTGTATGCACTTGACAACCCAGATTCGTGATAGCTATGTCAAGGACGTGAAGGAGAAAGGTGACAAGTTGAGAGCGGAGGCAGCAGTATCCGCCCTGGAGAAGATCGGATTCAAGCTGTCCGTCGGGTACAGTCATAGCTCCAAGTCATCCTCTGTGGAAGAGTTCACCAGCAACGTGATGCAGTCAGTCACAAGGTACGTGTAGACAGATGAGACTCTGACAAGACGATTTCCAAGAGATCGATCGCTGTTATCAGCCGTTAGGGGTCATCCACAAAGTTAAAAGCAATATTTTTTAGAGAATATATTCGTTCCTTGGGGGGGGGGGTGAGAGGAGGGGTTTGGTCTCTGTTCGTCTCATCTTTTTGTTAGAAAAAATGTCGATCTCTAGCTGTGGACGGGCACTGAACAAACATGTACTTGATGAGCTACAAGAAGTGAAAGTCAGCCTCATGAATATTGCCCACGGCAGGGTTTTGAGACCATCGCAATGTTACGGTAAATTTGGAGTTGCTGTTGTTCATATTTCATGAGGAGATTGCACTTCCTAAAACAAATATTGATCCTGGAATATATCTGTGTTAAGTAAAACCTGGTGTCAGCGGCCTCAGGCTTTAGCGACCACCTGCTTTTAACGACCGTTTTTCCATTTTACAGACAGTTCTATACAGAAACTGCACCAGATACAGCGACCACCTGCCTTGCGCGACCAGCGACCGACTTTTTGTGTACCAAGTGCCATATTGGGCCCGCACACAGCGACAAAAACTAACCAAAAGTGCCATCTTGGTTGGCCCCTTATCTGAAAATCTTGTAAATAAAAGGAGACTTTGTATTTGAGAGTAGCGATGTTGTGAGTCATAGCCGAATATCCCGAAAGACGAATCAACCCCGGGCAGTCTGTTTTTAAACAACGAATTTCATTTGTACGGTCTCTTGTTTCAACTCTTGTTTCAAGGGAAATATGCAGCACTTGTGGAGCCACAGTAGAATTATTTGAGGTGAACATTGAGGTCCCAAGTTGCAACTGAAGTTTCCTCAGTTCTTATTCTGTTGTTTACTCCTTTACTCGTAGAACGTTTGGTGGCCCACCGTATCGGCCCAACATGACCATTGACGACTGGGAGAGTGGACTATTGAATTCACTCGTGGCCATCGATAGGATTGGAGATCCGCTGGAGTATGTGATATCTTCGTTCACGCTGGCCGGTTTGCCAACACCGACCATACAGGAGGTGAGTACTACCATTGTAAACTAGGGTCTTCAGCAAAGATGGTATTGTGCGAAATGTCTTTGTCCAGTTTTACATGCATTGGATATGTTTCCTGAGTGCAGACCTTCATTTCAGAGCTAAACAGCAGTTTTTTTCACTGCCATGATAAAGAGGCATATCTGGTCCCCTTGGGGGGGGGGGGGTGCAACGCCACGTAGGATGGCTGGAGCATGTCACTGCTGCTAAAACTAGATATGGCATGTTCTCTGTTTCTTTCCTTGGCACTGATCGGTGGAATTCTCTGCCTATGTTGTGTCGCCAAGCTGATCAACCATCCGCTTTTATTTCGCTCTGCAAAGAGCACTTATGGTTCCCTGTGAAAAGATGGCAACGTCTGTAGGGATTTACGTAACAAAATAATAAATACTACTACTAGTACTACTACTCATTCATGGTCGCTATGGGAATGTTGAACCTATATCGAAATTGTCAGGGGTGCACGAGCCCGTGCCCCATGCGGGCTACACGCCTGATTTACGGCACATGCCAGTATGAATCACTATATGAACCATCTTTGCGATTGTCATTGCACAGGTTGTGCACTAGTTATTCTGTGTGCACGAAACTCTGATCTGATGCAGAGGAGGGAGGGGAGGGGAGGGGGGGGGAGGGGGAGGGGAGGGGGAGGGGAGGGGGGGGAGGGGGAGGGGGAGGGGAGGGGGGGGAGGGGAGGGGGGGGGGTGCAGAGTTTCACAGGAGTGTATGCTGTACTTGTTTTCGTTTTGGAGGAAAAATAAGTATATACAAAAAGAATGCCTTTTCTAATTTTTCGGATGGAAATTGTACAGACAATGAAGAGGTTCCGCACAAGTAATTACGTTAGTAAAAAATACGTAATCGATCTACGGAATGTCTTGCGTAAACCGCATGTGGCTCTGTGTTCCGCCATACGGAGTTTTCGAATCACGTAGCTGCCCTTGGCAACTCCGAACGCGGCAGTGTGCGGCCGGATTGACCTGGGGAGAGAGTCATAAATTTGTACCCCAATCCGCTTACGGAGCACCTACGTTATCAGAGCCCTATCTATGTACTCTCCGTAGGCAACTTTCCGTAGGTGGAGTGCAAACTCGCAAATTCACGGGTATTTCCCGCCCCTAACGTAAAGTTCCTCAAATTTACGTACTGCAGAACCTCTCTACTATTGCCAAATTTCTTGTTAAATTGTGGCTCTGACCTTGGAGGAATATCTGCTGTCTTTCACAGCACATTTCTCTGTACTCTCTAAGCAGGCCTCTGCTCCATGCTGTGTTTTTCTCTCGCTGTCTCTGTGCCCTGTTCTTCTTACGCCGGATGATGTTTTGGTACTTTCCTGTGGTGAAGATCACAAGGGGTATTGCAGGAGCTGCTGGAGTCTACCTTCTATCGAACACATATGTCGGCTGCCCTGATCCGAACTCACCCAACTTTGACTATCAAGTAAGCCTCACTCCGCCAATGTAGATTACTGTGACACACTCATGCTGTCCATACATCTTCACCACACTCTCCACACTGTCTCTGGGCTACACCAAGGCAATCACTAAAAGAAATATTAACTCTTTCGAATTTTTGGGCAAGGCCCATCTTCAGGAATTTGAATGATTTATTATATCCTGTTTGTGGTTGGTGTAGCCCAGAGACCGCTTGGAGAGTGTCGTGAAGATGTATGGTTACAGTGGGTGGATGGCTACATTGGTGTCTTCACATTTTGAGAAACACACTCAGCCTGGTGGCTCTAAAGAGTACGGCCAGCAGCACAGTACTCTAAGAAATCTTCGTAAAAAATTAAATTTGGATATTGAGCCAATAGTAGTATGTATTATACACAGAGAAAATCGTATATTGCCAGTTTTCTGCCTCGGTCTAGAACTATTTGACTGTATACTATCTCGTTACCTTGGTGGACTGTTAAGCTGTGTTCCCAACTGGCACGTGTTGGCGGTACGCTTGCGATTCATGCGTGCCCAAACGCGAGCTCAGGCTTTCACAAAAGAACAGCAATTCGAATCGTATTTAGGGCGTGCGACGCCTTTGAGAACTACGTTTTTGACCCCGCCTGTCAAAGTGACTGGCATGTTCCCATGTTGGAATTTCCATTTCAGCTCGTTTCCATATGCATGGCGCCGCAAAAGCCAGCAAAAATACTCACAAACTCATGGTTTCACGCGTATGCGCGCCAGTTGTGAACACAGCTTCAGTCATAACTAGTAACTTATAGATCATTTTCTATAAACAAGTAAATAAAATAATTATTCTTTTATTCGTTTAAGGCAAACGTGCAAACGGGAAAAGTCTGAAGAAGTCACCATTACGACTCAACACAGGGCCCCTCGCTTGGGGCCAGCGATGCTCTAACCACTGAGATATGGTCTAGCTATCATCCAAGCAGATACCGTTCAACTTTTCTTCAGACTACTACGATGATATTTTGTTATTTTAGAGTATAAAGCGGAACCACGGATGTGTAGCTAGAGCATTTCCCGCTTGAGTTCGCAAACACTTGTGGGTTCATCAACTGAAATGAAAGCTTACCCAAAGTTCACATTTCGCTTTATTTTACTTCACCATTTGGCACAAGCAAAATCTGCCTTCTCACTGGGCGTATTTCGTTTGGGAAAGCAGTCGAAACATGAATCACTGATTCTTTTCAGGTAGTGATAAAGTTGATCCCATCTGCTGCGTATCTGATCCGTGAGTTCACGTGAACTATTGTTGTGCAGGTGAATGCTGGGGACAAGACTCTTTGCCAACAGACATCTCACAACTACACCTTTGGTGGAGTCTTTCAGAACTGCACCGTCATCCCTAATTCTTATCTCGGAACCGAGGTTAAGGATATTTGCGTGGACTACGTTCAGATGAATCCCCTCTCAGGTAGGATTAACTGATTTTCATTTTGTGTGAGGTTGTTACTTCTCTTTGGAGATAAAGTATTTTATTAACATAGTCTCCGTTTTTCTTTACCATAACATGGCATACTTTGGTTTTGATTGTTTTGCAATCAAGTAGGCAATTAATGCTGTGTATAGGTAGAGGTCTCGTTTAAAAAAGCAATGCACTCTTTTTCGCGGTCGTTGTTTTTGCGTTTTTGAAGTGAGCTGTGGCCGTCCTGTGCCCTGGTCCTTCGTCCTTCATCACCATCTTGTCATAGCTAGCATTCTTAGTTCGCTGTGATTTTTAGCTTGTTTTCGTCTAGAGTGCGCTCACCTTTCCCTTTCTTACGTTACTTCATAACTTAGAACCTTCCAAGTAGGAAGGCTACTGGTTTGCGCATTCTAGGCGTGATGCAGTTAAGTATCAGATCGTTGAATGTCAATATCTCATCAATCAGTTTTGTGCTAATGTTGCACATTTTTGACTTAACAGTGCAAAATGTCACTAAAAACGCCGTTTTGTTCCTATAAAAGCACGGATGACCGCGATTGGTCCATAATGATATGTTGCAGTCTTCTGGCCGCTGAGTTGACTGGTTATGGTCCGAAAAGGCTGCGATGCAGCGTTCGGCCCTTATTCCCAATTGAACACGGTTGAGTAAGCGGTCACGTGCTTATGCATACACCAGTTGCCTGGACACAATGCCTGCAGGCTACAATTTTCACACCAAAGTTCAACTCAAAGGTTCAAAGCAGCGAGTCATAAGAGGCTTTTACGACTCCCTGGTCCAAAGGTTCAACTCGAGTGACAGGAACGGGCCCAAACAGGCAGCCTGAGGGCATGATGACCAGGTGACTGGTGTACGCATGAGCACGTGACCGCTTACTCAACTGTGTTCAATCGATTGAGGATAAGGGCCGAACGCTGTATCGCAACCTTTTCGGACCAAAAGCAGTCGATTCTGCAGCCAAAAACTGCAACATATGGACCAATCTCGATCATCCGTGCTTTTATAGGAACAAAACGGCGTTTTTAGTGACCTTTTCCATACAAATCCCTATCTAGTAGGGCGCAGTCACCCAGTTTCGGTGGAAGTGAGCGAGTCCGATTAGGAATAAAGGAGGAAGGGAGCGTCTAAGCTTCTTCAGACCAAGACCATTCGACTCGGCACCCCGTAGATGTGTGTGTGTGTGTGTGTGTGTGTGCGTGCGTGCGTGCGTGCGTGCGTGCGTGCGTGCGTGCGTGCGTGCATGCGTGCGTGCGTGCGTGCGTGCGTGCGTGCGTGCGTGTGTGTGTGCAATGTGTGTGTGTGTGTGTGTGTGTGTGTGTGTGTGTGTGTGTGTGTGTGTGTGCAATGTGTGTGTGTGTGTGTGTGTGTGTGTGTGTGTGTGTGTGTGTGTGTGTGTGTGTGTGTGTGTGTGTGTGTGTAACGTGTGCATGCTTACTGTGTTGACGTGTGTGCACATGCACCACCCAGGTGGCTACAGCTGTCCACTTGGCTACTCGGCCATCTTGCTTCACAAGGGCAAACACGTAGCATATTGGGACAAGCAAGTGTGCGGTCAAGAAAGGGATCGCAACTGCTGGTTCTGGAACTGCTACTCTAGAGTAAGTATGCACCAGTGTTGCCTGTTTGTACCACATACACTGAGAATATCACTAGTCTTGCAGATGAAAAGGGTCTTTTCTGTTGATATCCACTCTTTCCGGCGAATTTTCGATTCAGCTCAGAGGGAATAGCAACTGAATAGAGAGCAGTTGTCTGTTAAAAAGCGCGTTTGCTCTTTAATGCGGGTGCATGTTGGAAATCCCACGTCATGACAAACACAATTGGACTATTTGCCACCAGGGATTTCAATCTCAAATCGTATTCTCAGCCGGGAAGCCAACATCGGGATAGGTGTTGCATAACAGCTGGAAACTCCGAGTAGAAAAAATGCTGATTTTTATTGCACTGGACTTAGTGTGTGGGAAAGCTCTGTAGTTTGCCCACCAGTCAGCAACCACATTGAGCACCCAGATCTGTTGTCATGGTTACAGTCAGAACTCTGGCCTGTTGTCATGGTTAGAGTCGGCACTGTGACCTGTTGCCAAGGTTACTAGTACCCTGTGACACCGTTGCTCAGGTAAATCTGGAATGCTATCCACACATGTAGGTTTGCTTCTACGATAAGCATCAAGTTACTGGTGTTGATATGTCATGGTGCTTGGCCCTAGGTTTAGGCCTATAAGTCCTCTGCGACACTGTTGTTTGCCTTGACTAGGATGATTTGAACCATCTTCTCACTTGAAGCAAGTTGTTAGAGGGAGTTAATGTAGCTCAACAGGGTGTTCCATATGCCTGAGTGCAGAACCATAGGCATTGAGAATGGTAAAGAAAAAAGGCTGTCTGTCACCATGAGCTTCACGCACAAAGCGAGCATCACATTTTTCTTCTGCCTTCAGTGCATGATGCAGGGTCAAAGCTATCAAAAATTTATAAAAAATATATGAATGTAACATAAAATGCTTGTGACCTGAGATTTGTGTACTGTGCATGCACACACTCTGCTCACTTATTCAGGTCTGCAGACAGCAGTATTACAGTGCCACAGCAGAGTATAATGTCTACTGGTGTGTTAAGCCCGGCAAGGTCAGCAGAGCATCGGGATACCTGTTCGGTGGTGTATACACTGCCACCAGTCCCAATCCCATCACACGCACACGGTCTTGTCCGAAGAATTTCTTCCCGCTGCGCTTCGGGGCCAACATGCAAGTGTGCGTCAGTGGGGACACCGAAGGAACACTGCAGGGTGCCGTCGGATTTTCTGGTAAGGATAGTAGCTTGACTAGTGATTGTAAAATTTATCCCCTCGCCCCCAGCATTAGGCGCTGCAGCTGACGTTGGATTTCCTGGGTGTTAACGGTCGTCGTGATTTCCCTGCGAACATGATAATTACCTTCTTGATTTAGTACCTTGACGTTGCTTGAGTTTTCTCAAATGGGCCTTGGGCTGAGTTGCACTAGAAATCTAGACATTGACTGTCATATGGGATGTGTTTGGAGGTGGGGAGGTCGAGAGTAGCTGGCCAATATGAACTGCATCATAAGAAACTCGAAGTCTTGATGGTTCTAATGGTACCTTAAAGTACCGTTGATCCGCCCCCCCCCCCCACTCTCTAATTCCCGCCCCCTGTCGATTTTCCACCTGGGGAGCGACTTCGGCGTATACAACGAAATACGACGTTGAACCGACGCATGCACTGCTGTACACAAAACGTGTCAATCCAGGATGAAAATGTACACAATCCAGCAAATGGAGTCTGATCCTCCACGTTGTTGTCCATCGTACTGCACTTGACAGCCTTTATCTAATTCCCGCCCTCTGCTGAAAACCCAGCTGGGAAGCGTCATGGCGTGGGGGCAGATCAATGGTACTTTACGGTACATCTATAGATTCAAATCTACTAGCGCTAGTATTTATATTCAACAATTAACATTGTGAGTCTCGCAATAGTACATGGTCCACAAAGTAAAGATCTGTCTTATGCACCCTTGTTACTGTGGTCACTTTGTAACCTTTAATAAACACATAGTTTGAGCATATACGAATAATAATGAATGAATGATTTGTAAGAAATTCAGCCCGGGTCCTGAAAGAGTGTGCCAAAGAACTTGCGAAGCCTTTGTCCCAGCTATTCGCTCTCTGTTTCAGGTGCGGAGTTCAACCAGAATCTTGGAAGACAGCTAACGTAGTACCGATCCACAAACGGTCCCCGCGCTCTGTTCTGAAGAACTACCGCCCAGTCTCGTTATTATGCATAATGTCCAAAGTAATGGAAACTATTGTCAATCGCCAACTGATGAACCATCTTGAGCGCCAGCAGCTCCTCACTCCCCACCAGTTTGGGTTCCGTAGAGGTCTCGGCACGGCAGACGCACTACAGGCGCTTCATAACGCCTGGGTGGACATCGTTGGCCAAGGTGGCGCGGCACGAATTCTCGCAGTCGATATAGCCGGGGCCTTTGACCGGGTCTCCCACGTGGGCCTCCTCTACAAGGTCCGGCAGCTCGGCATTACTGGCACTCTCCATAGCTGGCTATCGTCTTATCTTGACGGCCGTTCACTCCAGTGCTTAGTCGGCGGTCAGATTTCTTCTCTCTACCCAATCTCTGCAGGGGTGCCCCAAGGCAGTATATTAGGCCCTACGTTGATTCTGATATACGTGAATGACGCTGCCGATGTTCTTGATGGCAATGCTAAGCTTGAGGCCTACGCGGACGATACGACACTATACAGTCTAGTATCCTCAGCTCAGTGCCCTCGGGACGCTGCACACACCTTGCAGGTATCCACAAACCGCCTGCATGAGTGGGGTTGCCGGTGGAAAGTGTCTTTCGAGCCCAGCAAGTCACAGGCTATGACTGCTACCCTCCGACGCACTGACCTAGACCTGCCCCAAATCCTGTTTGGTGGTACCCCTGTACCGGAGGAAACCAGCATATCACTGCTTGGTGTTCGATTTGACTCCAAATTGTCCTTCGCTAGTCACCTCAGGACCGTGACCATCCGCGCCCAGCAGCGCCTCGGCTTTCTCCGACGAGCGGCCCACATTCTAACGCCAGCTGGCCGAACGACTGTCTACAAGGCATTCGTGAGGCCCCTGATGGAGTATGCCCCGCTTGTGTGGATGGGCGCGCCAGCCAGCCACATCCAACGTCTGGATAATGTTCAACGCCACGCACTGCGCATCATTGGCCCTGGTGCAATTCTCCCGAGTCTGGCTGTCCGCCGGACTGTTGCTGCTCTCTCGTGCATGTACAAATTGCATTTCATTACTGGTCCTCCTCAGCTACTTGCTGTATTGCCACCGCATCGCGTTTCTCCAGCCAACCCCAGAACCAGGAACCAGCACAATAATGCCACCAGCCACCCCTATCAACTGTCAGACACGCTCCCTGTCTCAGCTCCATCCGTCGTGAAGCGGTCGTTCCCGTACTGCTGTATTGGCGCATGGAACTCCCTTCCTGACAGGCTGCTGTCGCAGCGCCCACACAAAACACGTTTTCAGTCATTCAAGACAAAGGTCTACCGACACCTGAGAGACAGCAACTGGTACTGGGCAACAGATTCCCTGTAATTTTTCGAGCCCGTCGCTTGCCGGACCCGCTAATCCGCGTACCTGGCCTTGCTCAGAGTGCTCAGCTGTGTTTTGCATACATGGAAAAACTTGTTATGATTCTTTTCTTTTCTCTGCTTATTCTTTTACTGGATTATCAAAATGGGTGCCTTATTATTTTTCTGTTTTTTTAGCTTGTTTACTTTACACTTCTTTGTGCGAGTTTCGTTTCAGATCTATTATAAAAGTTCATAAGTTTTGGTTGATGAAGTTGACATGTACATCAGTCCAAACACTGATAATAAACAATCTCTTTTCATCTTGTTTTTATTTTTCTAAACACCTACCGGTACTTTTACCCATTCTACTTCCCCATAGCTAGATCTAGCTTTGCTTTACATTTCTGTTCCTTTTCCGGTGCGTGCTTGTGGCATTGAAGCTGAGACCTTTGGTCGGTGGAGCCCCTGGTACCTCACCATCACTGCTGCCCAGTGCAGCCCCTGCTCAGTAGCTGTTTGTTTTTGTCCACATAATTATTTATTTTACGAGTTGGGTTTGTGAATAATAGTAAAAAAAAAAGAAAAGAAAAAAAGAAAGGGTTCGAACCCTTTCTTACAAATCATCGCAGAAGTCGCAACCACTATTTAATAAATGGATGATATAAAGTTTTGTTTTTGTCATCACAGATTTTCTCTGATTTCATAATAGCTGTATCTCAGATACTGGTCCCATCTCCGAAATGTATAAAAGAAGTACACACAACGAGGCACGACTTGTGAAAGCATAACAATTAAATTAAAACTTGAGCGCATTCACTTGCAATGATCTTTGTTCTGCAGGGTTCTTCAGCTGCTCAGCAGGAAACCCCCTGGCCATCGAGGATCCTGCTGATAGCAACAAATCTGATATCCTTGACGTGAGTCAACACACAGCATCTACTATGGTGAAACATTTTATACATAAAATATTTCCACGGTGTTCTGGCCCTTTGGGAACATCAGATCTGGCTGTCTGCTTGTTAGCTTTCGCCTTTCATTTTTCATGCTCTGCCATCTTTTCCAACTTGCGCTCTTCGTCAATCCTGCGTGTTCCCCGTGTTCGGCGATGTTCCGCCACGCATCATGCTTCCTTCAATGGGCTCTCCCAAAGCCTTTCTTAATGATGGCCAGAAGAGGAATACGGTCCCAATGTTTCCGGTATCACTTATAATACTTGTTAGTCCATATTGGTGAGAGGGAAGGGTGATTTTGATCTTAGCCAATACACCAACCTTCCTGACTCTAGTTGAAAAAGTGTTGGCTATGCCATGTGTGCATAATTGACCCGACTTTTTCAGCCACTTGCTACGCCACTCCGCGTTGTATTGTATGCTTAACGTGTTGAGCACAAAGACTGATCACCACTGATCACCACTCTCTGTCTCTGCTTAGATTGGTTACGGCAGGCTAACAGGAATGGAGAACTGGCCCAAACGATGCCCACGTGGGTATTCCCGTCGCTTGGCGGCCATGGATGACTCCTGCGAGATTAGCTACTGCGTGCGAGCCGGGGCGTTTGACAAACCCCATCCTGCGCCTTTGAGGCGGCCACCGTACGGGATCAGCTATCCACCGATTGCCAACGAGAGCATCGACACCGACATCATCATTGGACCAGGCAACAGGACGTGGGTGCGCAACCATTCAACCGGTGACTGGAAAGTTGTAAGTGACAGTTCAGAAGTCTAAGTTGGTCACGCATCAGACTTCACTCTAGTTCACCTTGACCTCATGCTCCCCTGCTTACATGGACAGTTGCAGCCTTTGGGTCTCTATGATTGGAATATCCAGTGTAGATTGAGTCACATTACGAAAATTTAATATGGTTATCCATGTTGTTACCTTTGAGGGTCGAATTCCACTTGATCGGTTGAATCATTTTCCACCTTCCAGATGTTGTTTCCACTTCGCTAAAAAAATTCCTGTAGTCCATGTACTTCGAAGTAACCACCAAACACAGATATCTGCTAACGGCCAGTATCAAAATAATACGTTTGTTTGTCCAGGCAATGAAGACACCAAACAGGTAAAAAAATACGTGACTAACGTGCTTGCTAAGCCGAGAAATCAGCAATAGTTTACACACACGACACTAGCATGGTAGACACAGAAGGTTCTCTAACTCTCCTATTTTGTTCTGTTGGTCTGCGTGGTGGGCAGGATATCACGATGACTATGGACCCAACCGAGTAAGTCTTTCCTCCCTATCTTTGCCTAATAATGACACACACACACACACACACACACACACACACACACACACACACACACACACACATACTTGTAAATATAGAAGACGGATTTTTGCTTGACCTTTGCTCAAGGCAAACAATGTCGCAGGTAGTAGTAGTAGTAGTGCAGTAGTAGTGTGTTTCAGCCATAATTAGGGGTGAAAGGGGTGATCAGGGTACCCAGGTACCCGTCTGTTTAGCTGCTGATCCGTTAGCAAACGAATACCCGTTAGTCGTGTACGACGGTACGTACGGTATTATTAGCTGGCTTGTACAGTCGTACAGTTTGACGTACAGTTTTAATGTGTAGTTGCAGGTTCATTCCTGCTACATATAAGGGAGTAGAACAATATTACAGTACTACTCCCTGCTACATACAACAATTGGGACTGTTTTGCATGTAGCGCAGTAAGTGCGAATGCTGCGCTTGTCACCATGTAGTGCACTTGTTGTTAATTGCATGACATCGCATGTCCTCCTGGCACGAAATGTGGAGGGCTACTGTACAGTAGCTGTTACTATTGGCTGCTAAAGGGTACCCGATAAACCGCCATTTAAGCCTGGTACCCATGTGTACCAGTAAAGAGTAACCGTTTCACCACTAGCCATAATTACTACTGTACTAGCATGTTTTGAGCCATGTGCAGGTATATCTCACCACCTGCACAAAAACACACATTCTCTCTCAAACAGCGTAACATCGCTAACTCTCTCTCTCTCTCTATCTATCTATCTATCTCTATCTCTCTCTATCTATCCCTCTCTCTCTCTCTCTCTCTCTCACTCTCTCTATCTCTCTCTCTCTCTATCTCTCTCTCTCTATCTCTCTCTGTCTCTTCAAATTGTCTGTTGTTCTAAAAACCCATTGGATAGACTGTGCACTGCAGATCGGTATGCAGCAATGATGCATGTTATGAAAAGGATGGGTGTTTGAACACTAGTAGGGACTGGTTTGGATAAACATGTTTGCCTGCTATAAAAAACCGTTTTGTTTGGTGTACAGGAGCAAGGGTTCAATGGACCATACCATGATTGCCATCATAGCTACCTGTGCGGTCCTCACACTCCTCTGTCTCATACTCATCATCGTTTTGTGCCGCCTGAACAAGAAGATGAATGCAAAGAGGGAGCGTGGGTATGCCTCAGCTCAGGCTGTTGTCAGTGGGAGTGATCGAGTGGAGATGTCGCAAAATCTCCTTGGCGACGACGGGTCATCTGCCTTTGTGCGACACCGCCATGTTCCCATCCCACCCAATCCACAACCGTTGTCATGATGTCACAATTATGTCACCATGATGTCACCATGATGTCACCATGATTTTGCGTGGACGTCATCATAACTTCATGATGACAACACGATGATTTCATCATTACTTCACCATGTTGTTTTATGTCTACCACGACAATGAATTCACTATGTTTATACCAAAATGAATTCACTATGCTTATTCATGTTGACTTTTCCCTGATGATAGTCTCAAGAAAATCGATTAGGAACATTAATTTCAGCATATTTGTGCACAGTCCGCTTCACTGATACTGTTTATTCATTTTTTTAAAATGTTTTTCATGTTTTTTACTCTGTTAATGTAATGCTTATGATGTCATCACATTGCCATCAGCATAGTCAGTTGGTGCACGTTGCTATGTTGTTATTTCTTCTACAAAGCCACCACCACTCCCCCCCCCCCCCTCCTTCTAGTACACGCCTGGCATGATACCCTGATAACAGTTTCCTTTTCCTCACTATGGGACAGCCATTGGACTGATACTGGAGAGTTCACACAGGCTTCTCCTTTTTGCTCAATGACTTGTTCTACGCTTGACCTCAGTCACAAAACCTTCCATCGTGCGTAGGGAGCTGCTATCTATCATGCTAACTAGTGTTTTGCAGATTATGGCTCTGGCCAACCTGTATGTCCATGGGTCTCCAGCCAGGGCCACCCTACTCACACAAGCCTATTTCTTCTTGGATCTGATCGAATACCACTTCTTTTCACAGATCGGGTGTGAGTGCTTCGTTCTAACTAAAACCAGATAAAACTCAAGTGGGCGCGAAATTTTGACCAATTTTTCGCAAGCTTGGACGCAACAGAACTCGCGAAGCTTCCATCTACAGAACGTTTCTAGTTATTATTAATATTATTATTATTATACGCACGTCCGCGTTTACGTCAACAGTGCGTCCACGTATTCGCATGTGCCAGAAGACAGACAGAGCGGGCAGAGAAGAAAAGACCAAAAAATGTAAGACTGAAGGCGATAGGCTCATAACTCATGTCCATGACAAGTGCTCAATGCACGGGATCTATTCGAAAGATAAAAAATAAAAAATAAAAGGACCAAGAACTACAATTTACGCTATAATGTCCACTAACACCACCAGTTACTAAAATTTAATAATCAGCTCATGCGATAACATTGCACGACACTGACCGACGGTCCTGACGTTCTACAACTAACTGGCTAACGGCTCTCGTGGGGTCAAGATGCAGACTGGAGTCAGTTAATTGTCTCGTCGTTTGGCAAGAATGGCGACCTCCAACGTTTGGACTTAATGCGTTTTTTGGTCCCCACCTTCCAACCCGGAAATTTTTAGATTTTGATAAAAACGATTCAAAGCCTCTCAATTATTGTGTAATACTTGAAGTATAGATATAAGAATAAGAATAATACGAAGTAGTGGTTGCGACTTCGGCGATAATTTGTAAGAAAGGGTTTGCTCCCCACACCGGAGCTCGCGCTATTCCGCCGACTTCACTTGACACTTGACTGACTCACGACTGCCATCCAGAGCACACGAGAAGTCCATCGAACCTTCGACTCGGCAAACCTGCAAGAAAGCACCACTCCCTGCTCAATACACAGTTTTTCGGGGAATTCACCCCTCATCAGTTGAGCTTGAGTAGGCTGGCTCACCGTCCAGGAGCGACACTGACTCACGCTGCTATCTGGTGTTCACGAGGTGTTTGTCGCGCTGGAAACGGAGCGTCTCTGTAAGTTTGTATCCCTGGTGATGTTTGTGCCTGGAGAGCACTATATAAGTGGTGCTCTTCAGGCACAATCTTCCTCAGCCTACTCAAGCTCAACTGATGAGGGGTGAATTCCCCGAAACACTGTGTATTGAGCAGGGAGTGGTGCTTTCTTGCAGGTTTGCCGAGTCGAAGGTTCGATGGACTTCTCGTGTGCTCTGGAAGGCAGTCGTGAGTCAGTCAAGTGTCAAGTAAAGTCGGCGGAATAGCGCGAGCTCCGGTGTGGGGAGCAAACCCTTTCTTAATAATAATAATAATAGTTATACTTTCACACAAAACTAGCTCGGTGCAGCACCAATCACGGCAGGGGAACCCGACCCTCCACCATCGCCAACTCACGAAGCATGTGAACTGGACGGTGACGGGCCGACCGAGCACCCCTGACACACAACACAGTGGACTTAATGCTGGTTTTCATCAACTACCACCTATGGCATATCCTCTTAGGGCCGGTTTGGTTGGTACAACCTAGAACAGGATTCACCAGAACAGCGTATTTGGTTGGAACTGCACCTGTTCTGGGTCGCCCAGAACATGACTGTTCTGCTTGCTCCGGCCTCGAGGCCGGAGTAGACCGAGCAGTTTCACTTTTTCACAGTGAAACCTGGCGGGTGACATCGATTTTTGGTCCCAAATGATCACATGCATACGCTTTTGGGTTGGATTCGTCGTACCGTACACAGTGACCATGGTGACCCATACACATTTTGAAGAATGCACCAAGTTTGGCATATTTTCACAAAAGAATGTGCTCTGTTTCTTGAGTACCGTTTGGTTGGGGGCTCCTCCATGTGAACCAGCTGTTCGATCCTGTTCTAGATCGTACCAACCAAACACACCCTTAGTTGGTTCCATTTTCTTAGAAAATAATGTCATCACCCTGGGAATTTTGCCAAATCTTGTTTGTCAATAGAGGCTTTTAATGAAACTCGAAACACACCTTGGTAGCAAGTTTCGCGCAATGCGAATGGGTTATACTTTACCGTAGGCAATGGTCTATGCTTCACCTTTCACAATTCAATAGATCTAGAATTAGTTTGGTCTAGTGCCAACTTTCCGGTATGGCAGCTCCTTCTCGCACCATCTCCAATTATTTTGATTTCTGAATTCCTCAGTGTGGGCTACAGGGGTAGAGCAGGGTTTCTATTATGGTTTCCAGAGTATGGCAAAAGGCCAAAATGTTTGTCCGTGGGTCTCCTGCCATGACTAACGTGGTTAAACAGCGCTCATTAATTCTTGAATCTGATCAAAGACCACTTCTTTTCCAACATCGAGCGTGCGTGGGTGTTTATTTGGAGCAAAATACATGGAAAATGATGTGGATCATGAAGTGGTGGTGTATTGAAACATGGTAACTGTAGTAAGCTGGATAGGCTTCTAGTGGGGTCAAGATGCAGACGGGAGTCAGTTAAGTGTCACGTCAGTGGGCAAGAACCGCGACCTCCAACGATTGGACCTATTACTTTATTTTAACCAATTATCGCCTATGGCGCAAGCTCTTAGTTGTTTCCATCTCCTCAAAAAGTAACGTCATGATCGTGTGAATTCTGCCAAATCTTGTTCGGTTAGATCTGTCAATGGGGAGACTTCGGAAGAAACTCGAAGCAAACTTTAGTAGGAAGTTTCGCAATTGCGAACGGTGTTAATTCCCCCGTGTGGCAATGGTCTATTCTTCCTCTTTCACAATCCAGTAGATAATACACTTTATTTTGTGCGCCCGCGCATACTTTCCGATATAGCAGCTTCTTTCGTTTCATCTCCCGTATCATCTCCAATTCCTTTTAAATGAATGGCTGAATTCTTCAGTGTGGGCTATAGAGGTAGAGCGGGGTTTATTTTTTATCATGTCCATGTATGGCAAAGCCCAAACCCGTTTCTCCGTGGGTCTCCAGCCATAACCAATGTTGTCAAATAGCGTTCATTAATTCTTCTATCTGATCAAAGACCACTTCTTTTCACAATTCGTGCGTGCGTGGGTGCTTCGTTGGAGCAAAAACGATGAAAAACTCAAACTTCGCGCGAAATTTCACCCAGGTTTTCGCAAGGCCAAAGGGTCGCAAGCTTCCCTCTGAAAAACGTTTCTAATAGAGCACACAAGTATTATAACACCATCACAATGAATATGTGTCACGCGGGGCAGCCGTCACCTATTAATACCCATTAGAGTGTGTTGCTCCCGAGGAGAGTTGAATAATATTTCAGTGGAGTTCAAATTGATTTTGGTTCGCCTATTCTCCGGGATCTACATTTGAGCAGCAGCTTAGCTTATCTGACAGGTTTAGTTTTGTCCGTTTGTGAGATGCGGCCACCATGTGTATTTTGCGACGATGGAGAACTGAAAGCGGGAAAACTTCTCAAGTGTCTTCACAAGATCTGCTTAGACTGCCTTCCAGCCAGGACTCAGCAAGACGGCAGAATACGCTGCGCCAAATGTCGAATTACAACGCCCCGTCCGCCTCCTGTGAGCAGTCACGAACAGCTGCTGGTTGACGACTCCATGTTCGAGAGAATTCCAATGAGTCATGATAGAGCCAAGAAGGCGGACGAGAAATGCGATGATCTTCAAATCGTGGCTCCTGAAATTATGAAACCATTTAGCGCTCCATCTGAATCAACGAGCTCTGACGTAACCCATTCAACTGAGGTCGAAGTCGAAAGTCACAGTAAGAAGACCTCTCACCTTGGAGGAGTCCTCTTTTGTCCTAACCACATGGAGATGGAGATGCGATTATACTGCACTCAATGTCGCGAGGTTTTGTGTGAGACGTGTAAGGTCGAGATCAAGCACGCGTCACATATTGATCAGATCAGCGTTGTCAATGAGGCAGCCGCAGCCCTAAGACTCAGACTGACTGAGCGACTGCGCAACATCGTCCCTGATGACAAAGAACAGGAAATTGACGCAAGCCTGCAATACGCTGGTGAACTATTCGATACATTTGAACGTGACCTAGCACGTCGAGTGTCCAATATCAAGGCAAGGATACAGGAACAGTTCCAGGAGCAAATTCTAAAAGTAAAGAAACGAGAAGCGGAGCTGGTTACCGAAGGAGAAATTCGGCAGAAGGAGATAGTCGAACTACAAAACCGTTACGAGAAGGTGTACAATGCAGCAGGGGCTCTCCGACACAAACTTGACGGATCCAGATATGCTCTAAGAAACGAAGACCGCATCAAGATGCATCCGAATTCGGTTAAACTTCATGCAGCAGCGGCGAGTTACACCGCCGCCGAAATACAGTCTCTAATGCTGAGACCGACATTTATTTGCCACGAACTTTCCGAATTGCAAGGACACTTTGGTGTCATAGGCAAAGTCGTGGATAACACTGGTATCGATTTGTCGATTTGTTCCTTTAGTCACTTGGGTCATTATGAAGGATTTGTAGGGGAACAACAAAAACTTACTGTTATAGTGAGGGGCGGGCGAGGCCAACCTTTGTCTGAACGAGCATTGAAATTCAGCAGCATTCAAATCTGGGCAACTTCAATTGATGCTGACCTTTCTCCGAAGGACCCAGTGCTAGTGCCGATATCAGGTTACAGCGAAGGTCAGGCTCACGCCCTTTTCCAGTATAGCTGTAGTCAACCGGCCATTTTTATCTTAGAAATCTTACTGGATACTCCTCGTCCCTTTCCAGCATCTGAGTTTGGTTCATCGTCCATGTGTATGAAAAAGTTTTGCCCTAGTTCTTCTTGGTTTTACGTGTACAAATCCAAGTCCGTCTACTTTCACCCATCTTTCTGTTCTCCCAGTATGCACGTCTGGCCAACTACATGTTATGTTCCACAGGTTTGCAACGGCACCCACTTGCGGCAAGCAGAGGATGGAGTCGCTGCGGCACGAGCCGCCTGGCCAATTCAAGACCGAGATTTTGAAGTTGCATTCAAGATAATAGAATGCCCATTCAGTAAACTGGACATAGGATTTACATGGGACTGTGCGGAGACTAGCCCAGAAATGAAACT